TTTGAATGTGTTTGGACATGGTTTCGAGTTACACAAGGGATCCCGGGACCATAAAGTTGCCTGTGTATCAGTGGGGGGGGGGGGGTAGGGGGGGACTGACCACTCGCCACCTACCCGCTGCCCGCTATACTGTTCCAGCGGCCAGCCGGTGGGCGGTGGTCTGCCCGCTGGCCACCCGTTGGAATAGTAACCCCCCGCCGGCGGGTGGTGTAACACCCCGAAATTTTAAAACTTTTGAAACTTATATAATAAAGGTAAATTCTCATTAAATCTCAAAACATAATATAATAGAGTATGGGGTGTTATGCCACACCTGGGCTAGAGAACCCAGGTGCACAGGCTAACTAACTAATATCCTCGATAATGTAAATACATAAGCATGGCACGCAGACCGAAAGGGAAACTATCTACTCTACATTCCAAATCTCTAGCGCGCTCCAGTGTCTACTTCTCTGTGCCTGAAAGCCAAATATATCTGTTCAGCGAGATATGCTGGTAACCCACTCCAACGCGTTGAAATACACTATAGATAGATATATATAGATATACGCAAACCATTTTGAAGTAGGAAGATATATACTTAGGAGACACTAGTTTCAAAACCAAGAATAGACTCGACAGATAGGGATAAGCACATTTAACAGTTATAATCAAGCATATAGAGATACTAGCATATATCCTATGGTCATAGATTCACTTCATCTCATTCATATCATCATCCCAATTCGTATCTCATCACACACAAGCACACATTGGTGGTGCCACAGGACCAATCGCATGTCCATACATGAGGGTCAACGCATATAGCTCTGACACGGCCCCGCAGCACCCTGCCTCGTATCGCAATACGAAGGGGTCGATCGCAACCGACCGATGAACCGCAGCTCATCATAATGTTTGATCGCAACCAAACAGTGGACCGCAGCCCAAGAGTAGTCATCTGACCGCAGCCAGGAATATGAACCGCAGCTCATGTAAAACGTTTGATCGCAACCAAACGGTGGACCGCAGCCCGAAAGTGATAATCTGACCGCAGCCAGGAATATGAACCGCAGCTCATGTAATACGTTTGATCGCAACCAAACGGTGGACCGCAGTCCGAGAGTGTAATTCTGACCCCAGCCAGCTTCTGAACCACAGCTCAGGAATAACCAATTTGATCGCAACCAAATTGGGGTATCATGCACACATAACACGTAGCAAACATATGCAACTCATATTAGTACATTGGGAAAGGGGAGAAAACGTATAAGGAAACCTATGCGTAGTCATCCACAAACTAGGAATAGTCCTAAGGGGTTCATACTTCTTTCACCTAGGCCAACAGGGTACTAATTCAACTAGCATGCGATATATAAGACTCATTTATCCTAGGAACGGTACCCGAAACATCAAACTAGACTTAGGCACGATAAACGGAGTCTGTTGGGACACCACGAGGGTCGGGGAAACATCAAATGGGGAAGCCGGAGTCCCGAGTTGGGACAATTTCCAGCGGGTAGCCGGTGGGTGGTGGACCACCCGCCGGCGTCAAGTCTCCGGGTAGCGGTTGCCCGGTGGGCAGTGCCCGCTGCCGGCGACGTCTTTCTCGGGCAGCGGGTAGGTGGTGGGTCCCCCTACCCCCACCTACCCCCCACTGACTCTTTATCAAAATAAACGTCCCGGGATCTGTTGTGGAACCCGAAACCATGCTTAGACACTTTTAAATGCAATTGATGACACCACGTGGACAATTAACGGGTCAAAAGCAAGAATCATATAGCACATATCCTATCATGACTCCTAAACATAATCAACACCCGAACATGCGAAATCCCATCCAATTATATCAAGAATAACACAATACGAAATTCCCAATTTTAACCTAGGGCTCTAATCATATTCAAATCCATAAAACCATAGTTCATCTTTTAATCATCAAAACATCAAGATTCATCAAGAACATCACATAATCATCAAGAATCTCTTATCATCATCAAGATCATGAAGATCACACATAAAATCATCTCACAATCATCAAGAACTCATCATCAATATCATAAACGATTCGTCAAGACACAAGTATAGAGAGGAGGCCAAAGAAGATAATTATAGCAAGGAAAATAGGTTTTGTTGAGACCTGGGTTACCTCTTAGCCTTAATTAATTTCCTTGGCTATGAAGGGTCTTTCTTTAAGATTCCTTCTTTCTTGATTTCTCCTAGGGGGATTCTTGGAACTTCTTGTGTGGTGAGGGATTATTGTGGTGTGGGTTCTAGGTGCTTCCTATGCCCCCTATTTATATACCTAAGAGTCCCTAATTAGGGTTAGTTCTATTCCTTCTAGAACTAGGGGATTGGGTTTAGGGATAAGGGCCCATGGACTATGGTGGGCCTTTTCTTAATTAATTATTGGAATTTAGTCCTTGCTTTTGGGTAATTGATTAAATGATTAATTGGTTTTAGGAGCCGTAACACGGGGTGTTACAGGTGGTCCTCCACCCGCCACCTACCCGCTGGAAACCCAGCGTGGTTTGTGGTGTTTTCACCCGTTTGATGTTTCCCCTGTTCTGTTGTACCCCGTTTGTCGTGTATGAGTCTCGTTTGGTGTTTTAGGCATCGTTCTAGGATTTTATGTGTATTACGTGTCGTTGTTGTGTCTTGCTTGTTATGTGATTATGTGTTGATTGATTGATGAAGATGCGTATCGTGGTCATTGCGCAATGGCCAGTGTAATTGATGATGATGATGATGTGATAATGAGATTGTGATTAGTGGAAAATAAACTATTGGCGGTTGGCACCACTTGTGCCCGGTCATTGTACTAAAGGTACAGGCCATAGCGGTGACTGTGCTAAAGTTACACACCCACCTTAGACTTGCTTGCCGTTGAGAATGGGTCAGGTTATAAGTATTGCGGTGTCATGTTAGAGCTATATGCGCTAACCCCTTGATATTGGCACTAGAGGTGCGGATCATTGAATGGCACTGCGGCACCATCTTGATATGTTGGTGGTTAAAAGGTGGGTTCGTCGGTGGGGGCATGTAGTTGCCTAGAGGCATAAGGGGTGGGGATATAAGGGTGGCCTGGAGGTATAGGTTGAAACTGATATAATGACGGAGGGGAGTTATACGGTTGGAACTTGGTATAAGGTTGGAGGATGAATTGTGTGCTTTGTTGACTACTTGTTAATTGATTGTATTGAATGCCTTAGTTGCCTCTACTCGTTATTTGCATGATTATCTGCCTGTTATGTCTTGCATTGCATGTTTAGGACGCATGTTAGTTCTTATTATTATTCGATGATATTGAGTCTGTTAACATGCCTTGATCTTGATCTTGGATTTAAACTAGAGTCTCGTAGGTATATATGTATTGTAGTTTCAAAATGAGTTTCTTATATCTACCTATATTGTACTTAACGCGTTGGAGTGGGTTACTAGCATTATTCGCTAACGGTTGTTATACCGAATGTTTTTCAGGGACAATGAGTAGCTTCGGAGCGCGCTAGTGGATTCGTGGACTTAGTTTAGATAGTTCTAGCCTGGATGAGATGGCATGCTTGCCTTGATTTGTATCTGGGTATTAGTTATGGTTTATGCTTTGTTAGTTAATTTATCCTGTGCATCTGAGTTCTCTAGCTCAGATATGGCATAGCACCCCGACTACTATGTCTACTTTATGCTCTGTTTGGAAATTAATAAGAGATTAGCCTTTATTTTATAGGTTTTAAATATCTTGAAATTTAGGGGTGTTACATGCCTCTTTGTTCACGATCAATCAAAATAAAGCTTTTAGTACAAAAACTATGGAAATATTTCAGATTAGGTTTCTTACCCTTCCATATTTCGTATGGAGTCTTTGTAGTGCCCGTCCTAAAATAGATTCGATTGACTATATGGTACGATGTATGTACTACGCCAGCCCAGAAACGTTGAGGTAAGTGACTAGCATTCAGCAGGAACCTAGCCATCTCTTGCAAGGTTCGATTTTTCCTTTCAACTATTCCATTCTGTTGGGCAGTACGTGGGGCAAAGAATTCATGAGCTATTCCATTCTCTGAGCAGGATTCAGTGTAAGCAGCATTCTCAAATTCTTTCTCATGATCACTTCTTTGTCTCAATATTTGGATAATGGGCTCATCTTTTTCTTTTTGTAGTTTGATACACAGAGTCTAGAATGCTTCGAATGCCTCAGATTTTTCCTTTAAAAATGCCACCCAACAAAAACATGAATAGTCATCAGCACAAACAAATCTATATTTCTTACCACCTATGCTCCCAGTCTGTGTTTGTAACACCCCCAATTTTAAGCATATTTTAAAACATTTAAACTTAAGTAATAAGGCAAAGTCTATCCATAATGATTAAGGTAATGCGGAAGCTAAACCAAATAGTATTGGGTTGTTATGCCACATCTAAGTTAAATACTTAGATTCATAGGCCAAAACTCAACTACAAATCAAAGTATACTATCCAAAATGTCAAAGTAGATCATAATGGGCTCACAGGCCATCAAAACTAAAGTCTAGCAAAGGAAACTGGATCTAGCTAAACGGCTCTGATAGGAATGTTTTTGTAATAATGTTTTGATGAGCCAAATGCACTTTAGATCCCCTTAGAATTTAGGTCTTTAGTACAAGCATCATATATCAGAATATCAAAGTGAGTATACAAAGGAAAGTCTACCACATGAAGAACAAAATTAATTTGGAGAATTAATTTTGGTCCTACAAGTATTCATCTGGAACACAAGTACTAAACAATGGCGTTACAAAGAAGGATTGAATGAGCCTAATGGCGAAATGGTAGAAGTCCTTACATACAACCAGAGACGGAGCCAGGATTTCTAGTGAGGGGGGGGGGGGGGGGGGGGGTGCGAAGAAGCAAATGTAAAATGAGTTAAAAAAATGTTCAAATACAAGGTCCAAATACAAAATATCAAATACGAATACGATTGTTAAAATACAAAATATATTATAAATTACAAAACAAAGTTTATGATGAACTATGAACTACGAGATAATACTCCTTTACGCTCTCTCATTTTTTGAAATCGCTGTAGAATTGCTTCATTTGAAACTTGATCAAAAATTTCTTTTTCAACATACGGCACTAAGCAATCATGTAATAAATCATCACCTATCCTGTTGTGTATGGATGTCTTGATTAACTTCATAGCAGAAAATGCTCTTTCCACACTAGCAGTTGCAACCGGTAGGATCAAAGACAACTTTAGAAGCAAATACACTGATGTATAGTCCAAATGTTTCCAGTTTCCACCATTTTTTGAGCTAATTCATGAATACCATCCGAATTAGAGAAAGCAGGATCAGAACTTACATCAATAAAATAAGTCTGTAGTTGGTCATTTAGTAATTCAAGCTCAATATCAGAAAAATCATTGGGATACAACTGGGCCAATCGAACTAACTTATCCTTATCAAACCTAGCAAATGAATTCCTTGGATCAAAACATGCCACACATAAAAGCAACTCTGTATTCTTCTCATTGAAACAGTTGTTTAGCTCTTTGAGTTGTAGATCTAAGACCACATAAAACCTTTCAACACGGTACCTATGAAGATGAGTCCTTTCTTCAACATTACGGCGAGGTCTTCCTGGAACTACATAAACTTCATCCATATTAGGTATGGGAATTGCATGATTGTTGCAAAATAGTGAAACTTGTTGTAAAAGAGCTTCCCACCCATCATCTCTCATCATTTGCAATCTTTGTTTTGAGATATCAACTAGTCTCATGACATTCACAATGTTTTGATCTTTCTTCTGTAATGCCTGTGACAAGTCATTGGTAATTGCTAAAACATCTTTCATTAAGTGCAAAAAGAATACAAAATCAAAACATAGGACATTCTTCAATACTCTGAATGCTTCTAGCCTTTGTTTTGGATCTTGCTTTATTTCGTCAAGAACATCAATCACTGGAGAAAATAATTTCAGAATGCTCACAAGTGCACCATAATGAAATCCCCAACGTGTATCACCAGGACGTTGTAAAACTGTTTCTTGATTCAAACCAATTTCCGTTTCAATTGTATCAGCAGAAATTGAATCAATCAAAATCCGTAATTGTTTGTCTCGTAAGCTATCCCGGCGCTTACATGAAGCACATACAATATTGCACAATTGCGAGGCAGTGATAAAAAAAATCTCCAACATCATCATTTTCCTTTGCAACACCCACAAGTGCTAATTGTAGTTGATGAGCAAAACAATGAACATAAAAAGCACTTGGATTCTCATTCATAATCAAAGTCCTAAGACCATTGAACTCACCTCGCATATTACTTGCTCCATCATAGCCTTGGCCTCGTATTCTTGAAATACTTAATCCATGCCTTGTTAAAAGATCTTCAGTTGCTACTTTAAGAGACATAGATGTAGTATCACGAACATGAGTAATTCCAAGAAGACGCTCAATAATATGCCCACTTGAATCCACATATCGAATAAACACAATCATCTGCTCTTTCACTGAAATATCTCTTGACTCATCAACTATTATTACAAATAATTCTCCACCAAGATCATTGACTATCATTTCAGTTGTCTCACTTGCAATTGCATTAACTATATCTTTTTGAATGCAAGGAGAAGTCAGTTGGTGATTTGCAGGTGCATTTTGCATCACTACTTTGGCAACATCTTCATTATTATCTGCAAGAAACTTTAAGACCTCAAGGAAGTTTCCCCAATTAAGTGAGTCGTAGCTTTCATCATTTCCACGAAAAGCAATTCCTTGCCTTAAAAGTAACCGGATGCATATAACTGATGAAGTCAATCGAACACGGTAGTCTTGTTTCGATTGCTCCGAGTGTTTTGATACACAAACTTGTATGTGTTGCTCTTGAGTCATTAAATCTCGACAAGCTTGTATGTTCTTTGCGTGAACACTATTGTGATTACTAACATGTGCACACAACCTTTCCGGTCCTTTTTTCCAATTGTTGAATCCTTCTGTAACAAATGAGTCCCCCCAGCTTGGTGTCCACTGCTTTCATCTTTGAATAGATAACAACATAAACAATATGCTGCATCTTCTGATACACTATACTCCAACCAATTGCTATGATCTTCAAACCATTTAGAATTAAATCTTCTATTAGTACCTGTAATCACTCTAGTAGGAAATACATGATTTTTTGGTTGACAATGACCCATTTGTAGATATCGTCTCTACACATTATTTCTATCATTGATATGATATTCATATATATTTTTCCTTTTACCCGGATCAACTTCAAGCTCATCTATGTTAACTTCAATACGAGGCCTTGACACTTCGGGACTACTTGCACTAGATGAATTGCCAAAAGTTGATTTTCTTTTGAAAAATTTTTCATAACTGGATCAATAAAATACAATATAACTAAGATTTAGAAAAATTAGGGAAAAGACAACATTAGAAATATTATAGCTAGCAGTACACCAATAACAAATTATCAAGTAACCATGGAAGTATCCATCCAACTTCCAAAGTTCCAAAGTTCCAAATGCAGCCAAAGTTTCAATAATAACTTAACTAAGTAACAATCCAACTTCCAAAGTTCCAAATGCAGCCAACAAATCCAACAATTATATAAAATTTGAGAGTCATGGAAGTATCAAGTATGGCAAAGTGGTAAACTGTTTTGGTTCAAAAAAAAAAAAATGGAAGTATCAAGTATGGCAAAGTGGCAAACAGCAAACTGTTTCGGTTCAAAAAAAAAAAATAAAAGAGTATGGCAATTGGCAAACTGGAAAAATTTCTTAAATTGCTAAACAAATTCATGTAGAACAGTGGAGAACAATTGAACATTTGAACAAAGCAGAAATCCTTTTGCCCTAATTTGAGTAATTTCCCTAAACAAATTCATGTATTCAACTAATTCAACTATTCAAGTATTAACAATTAACAAACTAACAAAGCACATACCTGACATACATTAAATTTATTAAACTAAAATTAGAGGATTTAGGGAAATTTGAGAAATTAGGGCAATATTCAAACCTGAGAATGAGAGGAGAGTCTCCGAGAGGCCGAGCGGCGGAGGTCACAGAACTGCGACTCTGCGAGGGGCTGAGCGGCCGAGGGCTGAGGTGTTTCTGCTTTGTTCTCCAGAGAGAGACGCACGGTAGAGAGAGACGCACGGTATAGAGGCGTCAGTTTCTGCTTTGTTCTCCAGACCGATAGAGAGACGACGAAAAGAGCCGCGCTGCGCGTGAACACGGAAGCCTGAAGAATAAGAAAAAAAATTAATATATATATATATATATATATTACAGCCCCAAAACGACGTCGTTTTGGGGCTGTATGATTTTGGGCAGTGGGGGCAGCTGCCCCCAGGCTACCTCCGTCATTGCATACAACGATCACACCCAAGATTGATTCCCCCCAAGGACTTATTTTTTATAAGCCGGAATTCAAAAGGAGCACAATGTCTCAAAAAGAAGCACAATCCCTCAAGTCAAAGAAGCACAATGTGCTAAAGTCAAAGAAGCAAGATGCGAAAAAAAACACAATGTGGCCAAATCAGAAAAGCACGATGTAGCAAGTCAAAGAAGCAAGATCTGATTTTTAAGCACAATGTGTCTCAAAAGAAGCAAGATGTGACAAAGAAGCAAGATGATCAAAAATTATATAAATTCGAAAGAATTTATGTTGGGTCATCTCACATGTCACAAAAATCCAAATTGCCTGAAGATATGATCAGAACGGTGGAAAATTTATGAAGGCAAGGATAAAAGACCTTATCCTAGAAACAAATTTTATCAGAAGAACTTATTGCAAAGAGACGTTGGAACTTCAAAATAGACAAGGAAAATAATATTTTAGAAACAACTTGAAAATCAAGTTGAAATAAAATATTATCTTGTCAGGCAAGTTGACAATCAAATCAAAATTGAAGACCTACTATTGTCAACAATATCAGGCTATGAAGATTCAAAATTCAAATATCAAATTATCCCACTCCAACGGATATATTGATTATCTATAAAAAGGACATGAAGACTTGAAGAAGAGAAATTAGATAAAAAGTGAACATACAAGAGAACACACGGGTGAACAAGTGCAAGTGCTAAATATTCATTGAGATATCTAGAAGAGAGACTTAGTCTGAATAGTCTCAAAATTAGTTGGAGAGAGATACAATTACCTTTGTATTTGTAATTGTAAAAAGAGTATAGATGTGTGCAAAATACTCTAGTGAGTGTAGCTGTGTGCAAAACACTCGTAGTTGCAAAGTGTAGCTGTGTGCAAGACACTTAGTTGGCGTTGAGTATAGCTGTGTGCGAAATACTCGTGGTTGAGTATAGCTGTGTGCGAAATACTCGGAATTGAGTGTAGCTGTGTGCGAGACACTCGGAGTTGGGTGTAGCTGTGTGCAAGGCATCCGGAAGAAGTGCTTGTGTAGCGCTTATTCACTATTGTAACTGTGTGTGGAAAATAGTGAATTACTCCTAGACGTGAATAGAGTAAAGTGGACTAGGAAGATTACGCCACTTCCGAACCAGTATAAATTGCCTCTCTCATTTACATACCGCACTTACATAATTCGCTCTATCTATCTATCTTATCCGACTAACCCGTTTACTATTCACTGTTTATCTTAATCTTTCGGGTTTAGTGTGTTTTCACGTATGCATGTAACTCAAACTTCCTATATATAATATTTGACTTATTCTAAGCAAGTTTGACGTGTTGCATGTTACATTTATCATACGGTCGACGTGACACGAAGTCTTATTTATAATCTTGAATATTGTTGTTAAATATTGAGTACACCATCTCCTTTAAATATTCAAGATATTCATATCATCTGAGCTTATCTTATATGTGCATGTGATTAAAATCATTGATTGGGCATAACTCTTTACACATATTTATTCCGCTGTGCAGTTCAAGTTAAACACAACTCTACTTGTTACTTAGAGTTGAAATTACCAAAGAGTTATTTATTTAGAAAAAGTTTAGAAAGTCTATTCACCCCCCTCCTCCCCCTCCCTCTAGAATTTTTACCACCCTATCGCGACCAACAGGCTCCAACTAGTGCTCTCTTGAACCGTCTAGAACATTAAGGTATAACAACCGTTAGAGTAAATTTCTAAGTAACCCACTCTAACGCGTTGGGTACAAT